ATCTGCTCCTTCACCAAGTCTTCCCCTGGTTGTTGTACATTTTTGACTTGACTCCAGAATTTCTCAGAAGTTGATTCTGCAGTTCCTGCCAATTCATTACTTTTTTAGGGAGGACATGACTCTGGAGTTGCCCATTCTGCCATTATTTGGTGCTAATGGCATTCTTTTTCAAAAAAAGATGTTATAAACTGATTTCAGCTGCAAAAAGTTAGAAAGTGGAAGTAGAAATATAGCTAAGTCTCATTTTAGGAACCAAAAATTGTTTGTGGTGGACTTAGTGTCTTGCTGAGTTAAGAATATAAATCTCTAGGTTTTACTTGTGGAACCTTATATATTTTCCAGTTAGTAATAGAAGAAAAAGTAAGGCAAGTGAGAGGTAAAAACAGGACCGAGAAAACATCTTCTTTGGCTCTGTTATCCTCTCTGGGGTATTAAAAAGACTATATGGCAATAAGAGCGACTTATTGCTAAGGAGAAAGGTGGAGCGCCGTAGAAAGCCTCGCTTACGGCTTGGCGACCGACCATGATTTAGTCATGCATGGCTGCCAGCCTGCTTCCTCCCCTTCTGCCCTACCATCTTGCCACCTTCCCTTTCCATGTTAAATACTGAATTTTCATGGGCTTGGCAGTATGCTATTGGTGTAGATATGGTGGGTAATTAGATAGGAATGGAGAAATGGCCTTTACCCTTAAAAAGTTTATTGTAATGTGGGGGGTGGAAAGACATCTGTAAGCATCTGTGATACCGTGCAATGACCAACTGCTAAGGTGTGCATGGGTTGAAATGGGCATTCAGATCAAGGCCATCTTTGTGGATACTGTTTCTGGATTAAGTGGTATCTAAACCTGTATTTGGAGGCTTAATGGAAGTTAACAAATTTAAGGGCTGAAAGAGAACCTCCTGTCACTATAGGGAGTAACATACATGAAGAATTCTAGTTTAAGTGAGAGGTGGCATTACAGAAATGTCCCTATGATAGTAGCTAGGAGACGGGAAGCAGAAGAAGCTGAAGCCCGGGTGTTGAATTGTGGCTTTATACACAGCGTTACCTAGTCTAGAATTTTATCCAGAACAATTAGTTGAAGAGAAATCCAAATGGTTAACAATTGTCATTATATCTAGTTAATGAATACTGAATTATCCCATATGATCCTAATAATCTAGATTTCAAAATATATTTTAAAACTCTGTACTTAAAAAAACAAATGAAAGATACTTAAATTACTGGTAATTATAAACCTTAGTACTTCTAGAAAACTGTAGTTTTCCAAGTCAGAATTTTCTATTCTAATTTTTTGTATAGTACATTTTACTTACGTACATAAAAATTATTTTATTAAAAATGCTCAGCTATGATTTCTTTTATATAAATTCACTTATAACCAATTCTTGAGTATGATGCACCATTGTACACCACTGTTCTTCCAGGGGTGATACCTTTTAGAATCTTGAGGAGAAGGCCTGAAGGAAAAGAACACCCTGAACTGTGAGAATAAAGGGTCGCAGTGGCACATTCAGATTTATAGGAAGCCTCAACTGACTTATAAATCTTTATACTATGGTGACAGTGACTTCAGCCTTTTTAATTTAGCTTTTTTAGCTTGTGTCACTTCCTTTACTATTACTTTTCTTTTTTAGTATTAATTGCCAATTTTTCTGTAACTGATCCTTCATAGTCGTCTCCTTTCTTGCTGAAATGACTTCAAATAAATTGGCTGGTTTTCTTTATTGCGATTTGCTACCTGTGATGTTTCATTGCTTACTAAAGTCATTTTGGTTTTCCCCTTACCCTACACAGTGTTCATAAAACACTTGATTTCTTCAGCGAGCTATTGTGACACTTCCCGTCTCTGCTCTTCAAGTCGACCCCTCTGACTTCCCAGCTAGGTGTTCAGTTGCATTTTCTAGTCCAGATTAGAGTCCTAGATCTGCTACTTCCTCATGTGTGACCATAGTCACGTTGTTTAACTTCTACTATCTTTACTTTCTTTTTACAAGGATAGTTAGTGCCTTTTTCTCATAGGATTGTTACAGAATTGTTTAAATGATAAAGGCAGATTGTTTCTACTTTTTCTTACATGCCTTAGTTGACAAATTCTGAACTACTCCATTTACAAGTGGGTAATAAATATTTCCCTAATTTTGGAATGGTATTTTTGTAAGCACCTAGTTAACACTTCATAATAAAGGTTAGAAAGACCATCCTAAAACACAGGCCCACTCTACAATAAATATTTTTATAGCTTCTGGCAAAGCAATCAGAAAGCTGTAACAGTCTTCTTTTATAATTAAATGATATGTAGAAAGAGGCATTATTTTTAACTGTGAAAGATGGAACTTTAGGCTTCACATAACATAGCCTATTAGAATTACACATATTAATTGTTAATTCCTTTAAAAGCAGACTATTTTTGCTTCCCACTGAGCCCATCTCTATTATTTACATGTTTTATAGTGGTTATTGTTTGCACCAGACTCTATGAAAGCATTTAGAACTCATTTAAGAGATTAGTCTAAAAATTTTTCATTATTCTCCTGTTCTAGTGTGCACTAATTAGCCAGATTTATTCAGAGGCTCGTGGGCTTAAGCCTCAGCATCCGCTTTTATTAAGTCAGTCATTACGTGCACACATCATTGATTTTCAAGCCTGTTTATTTCTCTGTGGTTCTCTTCTAGAGAACCTCCTCCGAGTTACTTAACACTGGTGACCAAGGGTCATGGTGACGACTCAAGTCATCTCGACATATAATAATGAACAAGTATGCAGTTCTTTGGTCAGACCAAGGTATAGCGAAAATGGTGTGTAAATTGGTTTTGATGAATCTACAAGTAATATCTAAGAGAGCACATGATCCACAATAATTCAGTATTTGCTGAGAACATAAGGCTTAAGTTGGCTGTTTCATCGTCCTTTAGGTATGTGTGATCAGGTGACTGCACTTTTTTAGCTCAAAGCTGGAGTTATAGGAGAGCTAATAATAGCTGGCCTTAACTGAATGCTAACTATATGCCTGAGTTTGTTCCTAAGGGCTTATAATATGGTTATTTAATCCTCACAACAACCCTATCAAACAGGAACTTTTATTCCCATCTTTAGACGAAATAACTGAGACTTAGAGAAATAGTGTCATTTAAGGGCACACAGCAAGGGATGGCACAGCTAAAATCTGAATCCAGGAAGTCTGAATTCAGAGCCAATCTCTAAAGCACTCTTGCAGCTATTTTTATTAATGAAACGGAAATGGTAGGAGTTGAAGTTGTTTCATACACGGAAGTAAAACTAACCTTTTATCTGGGTTGGGAAAAGGTCAAAGTTAGCATAAAAACTAGTTTCTTATAAAGATGAATTTTGGAACTTTTACAGAGGAAAATATATACATAGGCATAGGATTTTACAATTTAAGAACATTTTGTTTTTAAAGTCTTAAATTTTGGCAGACTTCACAAACATCCTTAAATGGGATTTTATTGCTTATGTGGACTTGTATGAAGACAGACTGACTTATGAAGACAGGGTTTCTTGATCCTCGGTCCTCTACCTACTAATTTTGTGATTTTTTGCACATTATTTAAACTTTGTATGCATATTATTTCTTTCCCATAAAATAAAGATAATTATAGCGTCTTTCTCATAAATTGTCGGGAGAATTAAATTGTTACATATATGTAAAGCACTTAGAATAGTACTAACTGGCATGTTAGGTGGTGGTATTATTACTATTATTATTTATGCTATTATACCATACCAGGTGGTCATCCATCCTATTAATAAACACATTTCATTGATGGAAAATTAATTCTGTTTATTGAATCAGTTTTTTTTCTTAATCTTATTTTAGATTAAAAATTAAAAATAAGCTTTTTTCCTTTGCTGCTTCTTTCTCAGCTATGCATTATTTATGTCTTCTTTTATGCTTTATGTGATTTATCAACTTCAGTAGTTTTAGAATATGATAGGTCTGTGTGTATATTTTTATTCCTGGAATTTAGCACTATGACACGGGCTTTTTCTTGTCCATGGATATATCCCTAGTTCATAGAACACTTAAGTTCTACTCTTTAGTAAACAGAATATTTGATGAATGAATGAATGAGTTAATAATATCAACTTTGTCAGGCATTTTGCGTATGGCTATTATTTTCTTCCTGACTTTTCCATTCTATAGATCAAAAAGATACTCATTTTGTCAGTGTTCTTTTTTAAGAATAGTACTCATAACTGAATATATAATTGATATGTGATTTGATTAATAGAAAATAAAAGTATCACTGTATCTTTTATTCTATATCTGTTTGTCTATCATTGTACTTAAAGTAGCATTTGCAAGGGACAGTTAATACCTTTCACTCATTTGCCATAATGCCTGGAGTCAAATACGTTGCTGTTAAGTCAATTTTCTTTTCCAATTTCCATGTTGTTTTTAAGTATTACAAGATCCTAGGTATTTCTCTTTTAGACATTTTTGAACATTGATTCTGTCATTCCAACATATACTTCAGGTATGCCAGTATCAGTTTCATATTTCTCCATCTTCCACATATGGAGATTAGACCCAGCTATTTTTTCTCTTACATTTCTTCTATTTGTCAGTCTAGTAATATCACAAAGGAAAATGAATCTCATGTTCTAAAGTTTTCCGTAGAGACCTCTGTAGCTTCTAATGGTCATTGCTTCTAAGAGCCAAACCCTTTTTTTATAGGAATTCCTCTTGAATTCCACCCACTAGTCATATGGTCTATTTTGCTCTATTCTAGATTTGAAATGACCTTCTCCACTAAAATAAAGTATGTTTTTCTGTGCTAGTTTTAGTTCTTACCACCTTTCACTTTACCACAGCTTTCATATTTGTATCAAAATTAGTTTGAGAGTATAAGATTTCAAATTTTTTAGAGTAGTTACACTTTCTAGTTGTATGTAAGTCTGACTTTTTTTTATATATTACTGTAAACAACCTTCCATGTTATTATTAGTTATTGTTTATTTCTGTTTATTTTCAGCTGGTTGGTGGAGAATTTGACCTGGAGATGAACTTTATTATCCAGGATGCTGAGAGCATAACATGCATGACAGAGCTGTTGGAGCACTGCGACGTGACATGTCAAGCTGAAATATGGAGCATGTTCACAGCCATTCTGCGAAAAAGTGTTCGGAATCTGCAGACAAGCACGGAAGTTGGGCTGATTGAACAAGTATTGCTGAAAATGAGTGCAGTTGATGACATGATAGCAGGTATGAGGTTATCCAACAGGAAAATATAAGTTAAATGTTTACAAAGATACATCTACACTTTATATTCTGTAGACAATATAGATTTGTTGAAGCTACCTTGATTTCACATAGAAAAATAGGAATTTGTGGAAAAGTTGCCTTTTATATTAAGAGAAAACCTGAAAAACAGAAGATAGCATCTTATGTATTACATAAACATTATTACAAATTTTCCTTTTCTAGGTTTTAGAAAATCTCAGCGTGAAGCAATGCTATGAAATCTATCAGAAAAATAAACAGTACCTTTCTAGGTAGTATTTAACAAAATCTTTTCATAATGAAAATATCATAGTACATATTATAGTTCTTTATAATGAGCACTTTTCCAAAGTCTCTGAGGTCCATGCTCTTCAGTCTGACATACATGGAACTATGACAGAGCTACTAAAAGTCTTAAGAAAAGCATGTTGTAATTTTTGGAAGCGTGCTTTGATACCTTCTTGTAGAAACTTTTGTATTAAAATAAACACAGCTGTATTGTGGCTTAGACCATAAAATTTGTGTGAAATTTTAAGATAAAAATAATAATTTTTGTACTTGTTATTTCAGCTAACTTTGAAACCTGTGATTGTTCACCTCCCCGCCCACCAGCCCCTTCACTTTCTGGTTAGATGCACTTCAGTAGAAATGAGTCTAATGACTATTTGAAAGATAGTCCCAGAGCAAGTTATTCCCAGAAAATAAGTTTAGAGTTTGAAATGTTGATTCTCTTAAGCTGTGAATCTTCAGCATAAGTCTTTTTCTTTTTTTTTGGCCCCTCCCCACTACCCCCAGTGTAAGTTTTTTGTGACAAAAAGATTTTCATAATTCTAAAAGAGCTAATATAACTCCTCACCATAACATATCTCATCATTAAAAGTAGAGCACATACCAGAGAATCCTCTATAATTTTTTGATTTATGCATTAAATTATTTTTAATATTAGTAGAACAAAATACTGAACAAGTAAGAATGGAATGAAGAATAGATTAAACATAAATGCTTTTAAAATTTAATAGTTAAAAAGTTTTTTTCTTATAGAGGATATTAAAACTATTTCTAATTATTTTCAGTGTGACATCTGTCTCTAATTAGAATGTTTTAGCATTCTGTACATTTGTTGCTTATGGTTAATTTTGTGAAAAATGAGGTTCAAACTTAAAACTTATTAATGAAAATACAGTAGCAATTCTATGAATTCTATCATTGTTTAACAGGAGTTTATTTGTATAAACTTACATGTACACAGGTTGTATAGAACATCATGAGATCTTTAAATCCTCCTGTTTGGGTTGAAGCCTTGATTTTTTTTTTTTAATAAAGTGGCTGTCACTTTATAGAGTGCACTTTGGAAAATGAGCCTCAGTTGTAGACACAGAACTTGACTGATACATAATTCATGAGCATTATAAAGTAATAGGAAGTGGGATAGTACCATGAAGTTCATATTTTTGCATTTTCTATTATACAAAGCTCCTTAATTCTCTTATCCTTTCTTCTCAATAATATTCTAATAACATAACTTTCACTTTTTGTTATTTCAAGCCTTGAATAGGGTCAGAAAACACTTCTACTTTACTTTCAGTAGAGAAATTAAAATTTGGGTATCATACTAATGAAGCATTACCGAATTTTCACTCTGAGTATTTTCTGGCATATTAAGTTCAAGGAGGTACTTTTCATTTAGTAATGTGAAGGTATCACTATAAAGTAGTTAAATATCTTTAGTAATATATTGGTAAGAGATTGATAAGAAAAGTCCTACTATTTTTTCTCCTTTAAAAAACTTATTGTAAAGAAATGCAGTCCTGATGTAATAAAAATAAATAGAATTGCTTGGTTATAAGTATAATAAATAAGAATTTTTAATGATTAATTAAATATGGATTTAATCAATCATTTTTTGTGACATACACAGGAGATGAGATAAATGTTTGGAAATAGAAGTTCAATTTTTAAAAAAGTATTTATAGGTAAACTTTTAAGAAATCATCTGTGAAATTTGCCATAGAAGCTAATTGTTTAAAACCTCCATATTAAGGGTTTTTTAAAGTGCTTGATTTTTATATAGAATTTTTCGTCGATCTTCTGACTAGTATATAGTAACTATAAACTTTTTTATATTTGAATGATGGGTCGAACATTTTGTTTTATTAATGATCTTTCTAAAAAAATTGGCATATCCAGGGATACAATTTTATCATGGAATTGCTTACTTATTGTGGAATTAGGTAAATCAGTCTATTTATTTCTAAAGATTTATTTATTTATAAAGATTATCATTAAATTTCTATTTTGAAATATATCATAAATAAAATATTTTCAATGTCTCAAATTCTAGCTATTAATCTATAATACTGGATAATATATATCACATATCAATAACTAATTATTTCAACTTACCGTAACCTAACTTTTTATTTACTTGGTGATACATTCCTTAGAATGTACCTATGTATTGGTTATAATAACTTGTGTAGTATCTTTAATTCTTAGGAAGTGCTTTAGAAATCAAGAAGCTGAAGTATAAGGGAAGAATGATTGGTACAGATACTAACAATGTCTAGAGAAAGCAATTAGGGACAAGAGATGAAATGCACAATCTTTCTTACTGTTTGGTGAGCTGGTGTGTCTCTCATATGCACCTACACCCATTAACGTAATTGCTATCAGTAGCAATGGGTTTAAATATTTCTACTTAGACAAGTCATGGGTAAGAGTAAGGGCTCGGCAGCCAGACTGCCTAGGTTCCAGTCCTACCCTTCCTTCCTAGAGTGAATGACGTCTTTGGCTATGCGGTTGAGTTATCTGTGCTTCACCTCCCGCAGTTATAGAATGGGATAAAACAGGAACTTCTTAGTCTTGATGTGAGACTATGTGAAGTTAATACATGTAAACCACTTGTTATATCGCCAGGCAAGGAGTACACGCTCAAAATTGTTGTTAATGGGCCAAGGAATATTTGAAGAATATTTTATTAAAAACAGATAATTCTAAAATAAAATATATTTCATTTGAAAATAACCAATTTATAATGTTAAATGAGTGTACCTTTCCATAATTGTGCCTATGTTCCCTGGATACAGCAGATTTCTGTGTGTATATGTGCCTGTGTGTGTGTATTCTGGGAAGTCCTAAAATCTATTTTATATGTATTGGCTGAGAAAACTTAATTGGAATGGTAAAACTAATAGGGAAAAATCCTAAACGTCAAATGTATTTTTTTGGTTATCTGATGACTTAAAAATTGTCAATTGGAATGGTTACTCATGAGGACATTTAGCTACATTAGACATATATACGTAGGTAGAAATGACAATTGATAACTTATGTTCTTTTGAAAAGTATATTACCTTGACAGATGGCAGCTCATGACTAAAGATCAGAATAACTCTATTTTCCTTTGAAGATCTCCTAGTTGATATGTTGGGGGTTCTTGCCAGCTACAGCATCACTGTCAAGGAGTTGAAGCTTTTGTTCAGCATGCTTCGAGGAGAAAGTGGGATCTGGGTAAGCTTGCGGTCAGGGGAAAGTATTCAGTATCAGGGCATTAATACTTAATGTGTTCAACAATTTGTCTCTAGAGAGCTATAAACTTGAATTTATAATGGAAATTGTTCCTTTTAAGGAGTTCTAGTAAGTGTTTTAAAATTAATTTTCTCTCTAGTTAGAAAACAATCCCATGGCTAATGTGATATATTAGGTATTTGTGCTGAATTTGTACAACGCCGTTTCTTTTTCTTGTTTCCCCAGCCAAGACATGCAGTAAAATTATTATCAGTTCTAAATCAGATGCCACAAAGACATGGTCCTGATACTTTTTTCAATTTCCCTGGTTGTAGTGCTGCGGTAAGTTTTAAATACATATGCTTATTTTTATTTATCTATGTATAAGTCCACTCTATTAAGGTATAATTTACATACAGTAAGATTCTCCAGTTTAAAAGTACCATTGGTGAGTCTTGACTAGTTCAGTGACCACCACCACAGCCATGATTTAGAACAGTTTCATCACTGCCCCCAATTCCCTTGTGTCTCTTTAAAGCCAAATCTGTCTCCCTCTCCCCATCTTTTGCAACCTCTGATTTATTTTGTGTTTGTATAATTTTGCCTTTCTAGGATTTCATATAAATAAAATCGTATGGTATATAGTCTTTTCTGTCAGGCTTTTCACTTACTATAATGCTTTTGAAATTGCCCATGTGGTAGCTTATCACTAGTTTATTGTGTTCCTTTATATTCTAGGTAGTATTACATTTTATGGATATACCACAGTTTATTTATCTATCCTCTCATTGATGCGTATGTGGGTTTTCAGTTTTTGACTATTGTAAATAAAGCTGCTAAGAGCATTCGAAGATCAGCCCTCTGTGGCATGTTTGCTTCTCTTTGGAGTAAATACATAAGAGATGGATTGATGGTTTTTATGCCAAGTATGTGTTTCATTTCATGATAAACATGCAAATTGCTTCCCATAGGCAAAAATTTTGCATTTTCATCTGCAGTATATGAAAATCCCAGTTGATCTGCATCCTGGACCTTGTCTGTCTTTTGATTTGAGGCATTTAAATGGTTGTGTACCTCATTCTAGTATTGATTTTGTATCTTCCTCATAACGGATGATGATACTGAATTTTTTTCATGTGTTTATTGGCCACTTTTACATCTTTTTCTAATGTTTCTCTTCAAATCTTCTGTTAAAAATTTGCTTGTCTTATAATAAGAGTTCATTATATATTTGGAATATAACTTTTCAGATACGTATTTGTCAAACATTTTCTACCAATCTGTGTATTTTCTTAACGGTATTTCTTGAAGTATCTTAAGTTTTAGTTTCGATGAAGTCTAATTAAAATTTCCTTCTTTTATGGCATATGTTCTTATAATCTAAGATAGCGGTATAAACCAAGGTCATAACATTTTTTTCCTCTTACACCTTCTAAACATTCTGTTGTAGTAGCTCGTAAGCTTAGATCTGTATTCCCTGTTGTGCGAGGGAGCTGGAGGCTGACTTCTGCATGTGCGCATCGCTCTGCCTCATCTGCTGCAGGACCCTGTGTGGAAGAGACGTCTTGCGCCTTGCATTGTCTTGCTGCCCCCCGTGGAAGCTGGCTGGCTGTGTTTCTGTGGATCTGCTCTGAGCTTTGCCCTGTATTTCTGTCTTCAAGCCAGTATCACATTGTCTTTACTATTGTTGCCAAAAGGCAAAGAAGGCACCCAAGCTCAGTGGTCCAGGCAGGCTTATCGCTAAGCCTGAGAGCTCAGGACCTCTGATCTGGCGAGCAGAGCCAAGGCCTCTCGTACAGGCTAGGAGGCTTGTGATCGCATCTTTTCGGTGGGGCGTTTGGTGGGCTTTTGAGGGGGCAGGTCGGGGAAGGGCGAGCCTGTGGCTTGGTGATGTGTCCTCCTGAAAACGGGGGTGGCCTGAGTAAGATGAAAGCTCAGTCCCTCTGAGATGGCCGTGGGCTCATTCAAAATGGCAGTGCTCCGGTCTGCGCTGCCAGCGCATAGACTAGTTCTTGAACTCATGTAGTGTAAATACTACAACGTTTTTCTTCATTTTGAAAATAATTTTGGCTGTTCTAGATGCATTTCCATATACATTATGAATAAACTTGTCAAATTTTATGAAAAGCCTCTTGAGATTTGGACTGTAGTGTGTTAAATCTTTAGAACAAAATGAAGAGAAATTATTGAATCTTGCAGTTTGTGAATACAGCCTCTCTCTCCCTTTATTTTTCTTTGATTTTTCAGTATTTTATAGTTTCCAATGAGTATTAAGCATCTTTTGTTATGTTTATTCATAAATATTCCATATTGTTTTTGCTAGAATATAGAAATGCCATTGTATTTTTTTTTTTGAGAGGGCATCTCTCATATTGATTGATCATATGGTTGTTAACAACAATAAAATTCTGTATAGGGGACTCAATGCACAATCATTAATCAACCCCATGCCTAATTCTCAACAGTCTCCAATCTTCTGAAACATAACAAACAAGTTCTTACATGGTGAACGAATTCTTACATAGTGAATAAGTTCT